GGCGAGAGTAGCTGCAGCTACCGATTCCACGGGGAGAGTCCACAGCGAGTTACCAAACCCTAACGCCACAGGGTTTAAAATGACAACGAGGAACCTCCCAGTCCAGGCATCTCACACAAGGCCACGCAACCTTGGCGCTGGCCTGCGCATCGGCACGCATCAGGTCCCTCCAAACCCAAACCCGCGAGGTACGTCGGTAAGGAGATGGGAGGGCTCACATCACATTGGTGCCGAAGTGCAAGGATCTCCATAGTATTGCTACTTTGGTCCAATCAGAGCCTTCAGGTAACATCCACGCGGGCGGGGAGCCCACTTGCCCTGCCGCAGGCCAAGCTCAGACGAGGGTGACCCTCAAGAGTCTCAAGAGGGCCAGGTTGTTCTACAAGTGGAGAATGGCTCCCTGCCAAGTCAGTGGGTGCATAATCTCCACGTAGAAGTGTCCACAGCCAGCGCGCCGAACTGCTAGGTCACCCTGTGCACTCAGTACTCGAAATCGTCGAAGAGGCCGGGAGCACACATGTAGCACCGAGTTATCTTTGATGCGCATTGGAAAGGGATCAGCACCACACCCACCAAGCATGGGTCCCAACGTCCCCAAAATGCGTGGTATGACGCAGCCACTGCTCATTGGGCTGCCATTAAGGCTCATGCAAGCCAAACATCCAACCAAGCAGCGACTCAACAGCTTCTGGTTTTGGATGTACTGTCATGGCACCCCCAAGAACCCTGATCCTTCGGCCCTGCGTGCAGTTACCTTATTCCCCTTTCAGTACAAGGACGAAGGTGTTGTGCAGTACAGGCAAATCCTGGCCTTCATGAGAGCCATGGTGCTTGGGGTTGCTGCGGGGTTCCCTGCCTGCTTGGGTGTACATCTCTGCTCGCGTCAAAGCAGCCATACATGACTACCTCCCCATCGGTAGGTGGCCAAGCGTGATGTAAGCTCTCACATCTTCTCGCCGATGTCTGTCGGTTTGGGCATAGAGGGTCTGATTCTAGTTATTGAACCCTCAACCCTCACCGACCAAGGAGATAGTTGCTTGGCCTTGAGTGCGAAGTTTCGACTGGGAGACTCTCCCGCTTCCTGCGGGGCAGGTGGGGTCCCGCCTGCTTGGGTTTACCTGATGGCTCTGATTGGAACGAAGCAGTCAAGCCTGCTTTGGCCGTCGGACGAGACTCTTGTAAGTCAAAAGAACGTTGCGCCTTGTGCTCGGAGAGGCTCCACTGGCTGACCACCATGGAGTGCTCTGGGCTGGTCCTACCCTTTGTTCTTGCCGTTAAGTCCCCACTGGCTGACCACCATGGGGCAACTTTGTACTTCGGATCAAGACAGTTGACACCTGCAACGTCCCGTGCTAAGGCACGACAATGCCCCACTTGTGATGGCGGACTTGTGAACCTTCTCGTGAACGGCCTTGGCTGGTGCTGAATGTATTCGCATCGGTGGCTGCATGGTGGTGGTTTTGTGAATCTGGCAACTCGCATTTTGCGACGCACCTGCGCACTAGAAAGAGGCGGAGACATCCACTTCTCGCAAAGCTGCAAGGTCAGTGGTTCGCAGCTCCAAGAAGCGCCAATCATTCACCTGTGCCTCGGATTCGTCCTCCGCGTCCGACATGTCATCCATCGGGCAGGAAGAGCCTTCGTTAGTTTCGGAAGAGATGCTGACGACCTCCGGCAAGGTTGCTGCAATCTTAGGCATTAGTTTTAAGAAGCTTACTCCTTATTTGCAGAGGCCGTAACAAGCAGGGTGTGTCCATTGTGTTTCGCAAGATAGACCAGCAGATGTCCGTTGTTTCAACACTCTAAAGGGGTGGCGCTGCCATAAAAGAGCTTTGGAGAAAACCCTTTGAAGGGGCTTTCAAGGGGACTTAAAGGGGGTTTAAAGGGGGGGGACTTTAAGGGGGGGCTTTAGGGGGCTTAAGGGGGGGCTTAAGGGAAAGCTTCAGGGGAAGCTTAAAGGGGACTTAAGGGGGGGCTTAAAAGGGGGCTTAAAGGGGGCTTAAAGGGGGGCTTAAAGGGAGCTTGAAGGGGGGCTTAAAGGGGAGCTCAAACGGGGCTTAAAAGGCTTCAAGGGGGCTTCAAGGGGGGCTTAAGGGAAAGACTTAAGGAGGCTTACCGAGGAGGCCACGCACAAGCGGACGTGACTTTTGCACACAAAAGCGGACCCAGAATCTGGCCTCGGAACAATTTCCTGCGCAAAGACCCGGAGCACATATGGAAAACCTACTCCTGCGGAAAAATACAGCTGGGTTAGCCCCAGCGGCTCCTGGCTGCCTGGCCGCGTCACTTCTGATTCTCCCTGCCATCAGCATCCACCTCCACAACCTCACCTGGCAGCGCTGCAAAGCCGCACGACACACTGCGCCGCTTGCATCTTGCCTATCTGGACGAGCGCCGACCGCATCATGTGACAAATTCCAAAGTTTGAAGTAACGCTGAGGAAATCCATGGTGCCATGGAAGCTCATGGAAACCCTCGCTGAAGCTTCTAACATCTTTTTCCAAAGCCGTGCAAAGCATGAGAAAACCAATCGAAACCCCGCGGAGATTTTGCAGGAACCCTCACAAAGCTGAACTGGAAGCTTCAAAGACCTGCGCACGACCTATATAAGAAAACCCACAGAAACCCCGCGGAAACCCTCACACAGCCCTAAGAAACCCACGGAAACCCCTTCAAAGCTGTAAAAAACCATGGAAAACCCACGGTAACCTTCACAAGACATTAGAAAAACCTTCCGAGAGCTTCAAAAACCTACGCAAAATCTAACAAAACCCACTGAAACCCCGCAAACCTTAAGAAAACCCCAGGGAAACCATCTGAAAGCTTTTAAAAAACCAAGGCAAAACTTGACAAAACCCACGGACATCCGCGGAAACCCTCACAAAACTTTAGAGAAATTCAAGGAAAACCTCCGGAAAGTTCAAAAACTGCACGAAATCCCACGGAAACCCTCACGAAACCCTTGAGGAACCTACCAAAACCATCCAATAGGTTTTAACACATGCACGAAATCTAAGGAAACCCACGGAAACCCTCAGAAACCCCGCGGAAACCCTCGCGAAACTGTAGGGAAACCCAGGGAAACCCTCCAGAAGCTTAACAAACATGAACGGAAACCCTGCGGAAACCCCTTTATCAGGACTGGATTCACCCTTTGGCAATTTACAAAGTTATAAAGGACAGGTGCAGGAAACCCGCCACCCAATCACCGCACGCCAATGTCAGTATTATACTACCGGTCGTCCCCTAAAGGGTGAAGGACGCAAGAGGTGTTCTTCTGCTTCTGGCGAGGACCTGTGTCAACCGGAGCGCCGAAGCTGGGGCATGCCTGCCATACGAATCAATGGTCGCTGACCGTCTAAGAAGCACTTCGCACCTTCAGGCAGAACGTCAAGGTACACATTGGTCTTTCACCAATCGGGTTCAGAAAAAGGAATACAGTCTACGTCTGCCTGGCTTCACCGTCCACGTCACAACTTGCTATAGAACAAGACTGACTTCCTGCCTCAGGGTTCATATCAGACTCAACCCAAGGACCTGACTGAAGGCATGACTGGTTTCTTGCACCCAAAGCTTTGACCCCGCGCATGGCTGTTGCTACAACCATACACAGCTAGGCCCACCAAGCAGCGCACGGATGAGCTTGGACACCTCCGGCCGCGCACCGGCCGGCCGCGCCTGCGCCCCGCAACGAATGTGAAGCCTCTCGCATCGCCAAAAATCGGCCTTGAAGACCTCGGCAACCTCCTCCACTGAGTACTTCGCTGAGCGAGTTGCGAAGGGCTTGCGACACCTTGGAAGCACAAACATGGACCCTACGGACTATGTCTGGGCACTTTTTTCGGCCAACAAATCAGGCTCCGACGTGGCAGACATGGCGCAAGTACGCAAGCTGTGGCCTAGGAGCTGCTTGAGGCAAGAGAGCGCTCAGCGAGCAGCGGCTCAGATGCAATCTGTTGAAGACACATGGCCCGTAGGCGCAAAAATTAGCAAAAGTCTCTGAGAGTCTTGCAGATCTCAAGGCACCTTGAAAAAACAATCCGGCACAAAATCCAGCAAAACAGGTCTACGTGCAAACAAAAGCAAAAGTACATTGCAAAAATAGCAAACAAACGCAAAACAACGCAAATCTCCGAAATCTCCTGTGAACAAGGAACAACATTTAGGGCTGCTAAACACAAGCTAAAAGACAACCGCATGAAAGTGGCCTCCACAGTTGCAGCTCCCTTTCTGCTGCAGCATTACAAAAGCAAGCAGCTGCTTCGGACAAGCCCCTGATCCCCAAGCTTATGTTCTGCACGCTGCTCCCCAAGGCTCCTGGAACAAGGGCAGGCGCAGGCACGCTGCCAGCGGCGTGAGCACAGGGCTCAAACTTG